GGGAATCAGCTATCATCAGGTGAGTTATACCTACGAATATCTCTATCGTGCATCTTCGTACGAGCTGAATGTCTTCATAAAAATATTATCTCAGGAAATTCGTCGAAACTCCCCTTCAAAATTTCTAAATCCACTCATACGGTCCAGACCAACTTACAAACTAAAATCCCACTCGCTTTTATTAATCATAGATTAATTTGCTTATTTTTCATTTTTAGACGGTTGATGAAAAGCTGACTCTGATGGACTCACCTTTGGTTCAGGGTATTCCCCCTGAAGTCACCTATTATCTTACCGAACGGAACTCGACCCCTGGTTTTTTGGCCAGTCTTGTGTTGAATTTCCTTCAAACAGAGACAATGTTGATGTAGCACATGAAATCTGTGTGCAGCCTTTGAACAATAATAAAATGCAACCACTTCTTATTAGCTCATATATAAAACTTCGGTGCTTTTCCCACCACCATAGATAATGTTTTGGGGTCCCAAACGCGTAGGAGGTACTAAGCAACTTCGAGTGGCGCGGCGTCTAAGCCTGCCAGAGCCACTGCGGTAATCGTTTTATATAAACGTTGGCACCTACCTTAGTTACAACCCAACGATGCAGTTCTTCATCGAATTTTCACAAGCAAACCAGTGATTTAGATTTTTGTTAACAAACCGAGTTGGTCCGTTTACGAAGGGTTGAGAGGTCAACTTAGGAATCAGCCCCAGAGGTAATGAGAGCTACGCTCGTTTCGGCCGATCTCCAAGTATCACAGCTACGAACTGTCACTTAACTGCGACCGATATTCTGATCGCCTATCGACCAAACAACATGCATGGATAAATGAGGGCAAAGTGAAATTCAACTAGTCAGCTTTGATAGGCCTGATCGAGGTCAGGGCTATCCTCAAATCTGTGGAAGTAAGGTTCCATAAAATACACTAGCGTGCGCATAATCGCCATCTAGCGGGAGCAAGAATGCAGCCGAGTAAATTGAAGCAGAGCAATCGAAAGCGTTACGGCAAGTCGATAGACAAGGATTGGGGCTCGATGCAATATATGATAAACAGGAACAAATAAAAGAACGAGATCGCTAGCCAAATAAATAGGTCGAACAGATTCTATGCGACGCAAAGAGCGTGTATGGAGGAACTAGATCATGCTGACGGAGTTATGCAGTAGATGTCACTAATAGGTGCTCTTAGCAAATACTAAGGATGAGGCTTCTGGAAAATTAAGCGGAGGCGCTTAACGAGAGCCAAGAATCGGAGGCGCAAATTTGGGTGGAAATAACTAAATACACCTAAATTTGCCTCACAAATGAACCCAATTTAGTTTTCCTCTTGGCTCTGCGCATAAAGGTACACCTATATGCCAAGCGATGAGCCGCTAGTTAGGCAAAATGTGAGGGCACTCTTAGAGAAATGTTTATTATATAAGAAGTTTTTCTATGCTTTGCTGAATGCTGATTATTT